AGTCGATGCTGCTGCCAACTGCCCTCCAGCAGAAAGGCGGGCTTGTGAATTACCACAGAGGGCTCACCTGCCTGATCCAACAGACTGGGCATTGTGTGACTTCTCCAAAGTCGAAATGACCATGACAGGTAAACATTTTGAATCAGTTCAGGACATTGAGGCATCCACAACAGAAAAAAAAAACACACACACACACACAAAAAAAGACTTCCAGAACTGCTTCAGAAAGTGCTAGGAATGATGGGATAAGTGTGTTCAAAGTGGGGGAGGACTTTGAGGGAGGTTAATGGTGATCTGTCTTTTACTGTAATGTTTTTAATTTAAGCATGCACTGTATTTTGCAATCACACCTTGTCTATGGCTCTAGATGCTAGAGGAAAATAATTATGCTATTGAGGCTTATCATGAAATATATTCAGTTACTTGCCTTCGTTGCTCATTAATAATGACTTGAGACATAAATATATCCCCAAATATGAATGTGCTCACCTAAAATAATGGTGATTGCATTTTCGGAGGACTGATCGAATATTCATACTCAGAAAAGACTTACACTCTACACTCAATGTATTCAGTCACAAGGAGCGTAAGTGAAACCCTAAGACCTGTTCCGAATGCTCACGTGGGAAGGTGTTTTGAGCCTTCACTGCTCCAGCATCACTCTTTCAAGGTGGTCAGCCCCAACTTGGCAAAACCCAATATAGAAAGAAAAATTGAAACTGGCTGCAGGTCAGATCCTTGCTAGAAACCACTCCGTGCTTGCACCTAGCACATGCTCGATAAACACGTGCTGATGCGGCTCCTGCGTTCTGCTGCAGAGCGTTTGCCTGTGCTGACGACCTCGGGCCCTGGACCTCCGAGGCCAGAGTGTGGCACGTCCAGCGGACATAATCCGGGTCTGTGTTTTGCAGATAGTGGACGGCAAGATGACCAATGCTCACATCCTCGTTCTCCTCGACAACGCCCGGATGGCGGTGGACGACTTCAGCCTCAAGTGAGTCCCTGCGGCAGAGTTGTGTGAGTTTGGGGTTTGTTCGCTTTACAAAATGAAAATTCATCTTCCATGACCCACAGCTGAAATCTGACTGAGTTATAATGAAAAGACATAGCAGCCGCAAATGCCATGTGTGGGACTTGAATGTGTGCTAGTCTGCACAAGCCAGATACGAAACACATGTACCTGTGGGGAAATGTGCATGGGAATCAAGAGTTAGGTGATATGGAGGGATTATTCATTTTTAGCTAGGATAATTTTATTTTGCTTCCTTAGAGAAATATCTTTTTCTTAATAAATGCATTCTAAAGGACATAGGGTTAAAATGTCATATTTGCTAGACTATATATTTGCTTTGAAAAACTTAAGCCACAAATGTGGATGAAGGACATTTGGCAAAGTGCTAAATAACGGTTGTTAAATCTAGGTGACGGCTATGTGACTGGTTATTATTCTATTCTCCCTACTCCGTGCAAAAATTGACCACCCTGGAAAAGCGTCATAGCACAGAACATACACGGAGGATGCCCCGTCTGTCCTTCTGCTCTGACTAAACTTAAGAGATTCGCCTCTAAACTCAGGTGAATCCCGAGTCCACAGCCTCCCAGCAACAGCTGTACCCTTCCTTCCCTCTAAACAAGGTATGAAAACGAGCACTCCCTAAAGAAAGACCTGGAGATTGAAGTTGAGGCCCTGAGAAAGACCTTAGACGACCTGACCATTGTCACTACAGACCTGGAGCAGGAGGTGGAGGGGATGCGGAAAGAGCTAATCCTCATGAAGAAGCGACATGAGCAGGTAGGACCGGCCTGGGAGGTCCCAGAAACAAGCTCCGCACATGTGGGGACGTTCAGTTCAGCTATGGAGGAATCCGGCACCCGAATGTTGTCCTGACATCCTCCACCCAGAATCACAGGAATGTCTAATTTTTCCTATTTTAGGGCTATCGATTAAAATGTCAAATGCAACCACCAACATGCAAACGTCTTGAATGATGAATTGGCCGGCCCTTTTGTTGACACACAGTGTTTACCTGGGCTTGTTGGTTAATCTGTTACTATGCCAAAAAATGTGACAGCAAGCTTCCTACAGTGAGCACTGCACAGCCACATACGGGACAACAGAACAAAGCAAACCCACTGCGAGCCAGAGTAAATATGGCTGGTGGCACAAATTAAGGATCTTGATTTCCAGAAGCATGAACCATTCATCTCAAGGAACTGAGGCTGATAAAATGATAGAAAAACAATCACCATTTTAGGCAAACGCAAGTCGCTTCTAAACATCAAAGAGTCTGGTTTCTGAATAGCTGGTTAGACAATGTTGTTAATTAAACCTTTCCTGCCAGTGCTTGGTTTTCACGAAATCCTACGGACGTCACAGCCCTACAGAGGCATAAGGCACGAGATTGCCAAAGCTTCTCCACCTTTTGGCTTTTCATTACTGAACTGCTTTCCAAAACCGTTGGCCTAAACTCTGAAATTTGCAACTGTTTCATCGAACAGGGGCGCCACCAAGAAACATTTTCTAGACAGAAACATATACACTGTGCTAGCATAATTGTGTCTGAAATATTTTCAACCAGGGATTAAGTTAGTAATCAAAGAAGCCATGTGAACACCTGCCTTGTGCTAGTCTTTATTTTATAAAATTATTAGAGAAAAAAAGTACAAAGTTGCCTTATCAAAAAGTAGTGACTGAGAAACCAAACCACACCAGGGAAAGCATTGGCCCCACCTCTGCTGAGTTTTTTAAGGATCCATTTAGCGCTGCCCCTCAACCCAGCAATTCGGGCTTCTGTTTGTCCGGCTGATGTGTTTTCTTTCTGTCCTGTGGAACAGGCAGTGGAGGGGCGCTCTGTGCCTGATGACTTCAAGGTCAGTGTGAAGGTGGAGGCAACGCCTGGGGAAGATCTGATCAAGGCGTTGGAGGACATGAGGCAGGAATATGAATTTGTAATAAAGAAGAAGCACCAAGACTTGGACACTTGGTTCGAGGAGCAGGTAAGAGAGAGGCGGGCAGACTCCCTGGACGCTCCGATTCCGCGCAATTGAAATGCTGACGTCTCTCCCTGGGCTAGGCCTCCCAGTCAGCGGCTGCGTCCCAGGAGGTGCCCGGTCCCGCTGCCTTGCAGGGCAACCAAAGCAACGTCCACGAGCTCAAGCGCACTTTCCAGGCCCTGGAGATTGATCTGCAGGCGCAGCACAGCAGGGTAAGTGGGAGCTAGGGAAATCCTGAGTCCTCCGGAAAGCCGGCCAGGCTCCAGTCCCAGCAGCTCGGGATGCCTCTCTACCCACACTGCTCCTGGTGGGCAGGGAGCCAGGAGCTCCATGCCTCATGCGTAGAGGACGCCAGATGTTCTGCTATGCAGCTCATTCTATTAAATACCACAGCACCTTTCCAGGCAGGCCTTTGTGTCCCCATTTTAGAGATGAGGAAATCAGGGTCCCAGACAGTGAAGGAAATTGGCCAACGTCACACAACTAGTACGTTACCAGTGGGAAACCACACGATGTTGGTGGTGGGAGTTTCTAGACCCCCGTGGTCTCCTATTTAAAGCCAGACCACCCTCCATCTCCACCATGGAGAAACCCTGGGGCCAAGGAGGTAAGTGGTGAAGCCAGGCCGGGCTCAATTCCTGGTGCCTGTGTCCTGTCAACCGGCAAACCAAGATCTTGTGTCTAAGTCACTTTCCTCATCTTCAGTGTTGGGTGAAATGCCTTGAACAAGGGCCATGGCATTCACAGCTCCCTAAATACCACCTCCAGCTCCCTTCCTGGCCCTCAGGATCCTCCTGTCTCTCATCAGCACAGCTTCTGAGCACGGCTCTCCCCGGGTCTTAAGAGGACGAGCTCAGTTCATCTGTGTTGAGAGGCACGTGGTGTTGCGGTGTGCAAATCAGTGACAGTGAACGGACATTCGAAATGTGTGTTGTCCAGGTGATGCTGATGAGCACAGAAACTACTGCAGTGCTGTGTTCTGCACTTTAAAGACACTGTGACCTGCTGTGTGTCACACCGCTCTGGGACACAGCAAGGCGTGTGGACCCACTTCCATGCCTTTGCTGTCTGGCGCTCTTCTCAGCACGGAGAGCTGGGTCCAGAAGGTTCGAGGGAAGCAGGCAGGAAATGCGCAAATCCTCTAAATGCAATACCGTGTTAGGCAGAGACGGTGGCTGCAAGGAAGGGCAGCACAGGAGGAGGTGAGAGTGGACAGTGAAGGAGGAGCTGCCTCCTAAATGGGATGCTCGGGGAGGGCTTTGCTGTGTAGGTGACAGCTGAGCAAAGCCCCTGCTGCTGCCTCCCATGCGGCCAGAGATAAACCAGAAGCATTAGGCAGTACAGAACAGTCCAGAGCTGGGCAGTGTGTGCCCGATCCCACAGCACATGCCTGACCCCAAACGGCAAGCAGAGACCACCACTCCTGGGGAAACGTGATAGGGCTCCAGGGAGCTCCCTGAGGCAATGGTTTTATCCCCAGAAAATGATGTCAGGAGTCCCAGCTCTGACACCCAAGCCCGCAGCTCCAACTCACTTGGACACTCAATGAGCCCACCCCACTAGAGCAATCGGGCCGTCTGTCCATTAGCAAAAGGCGGTCACTTCCTCTTTCAGAAATCCACCCTGGAGAGCATGCTGTCGGAGACCCAGTGCCGGTACTCCTGCCAGCTGCAGGACATGCAGCAGATCATCTCCCGCTACGAGAAGGAGCTGCTGCAGCTACGCCACAACCTGGAGCGGCAGAACAACGAATACAAGGTGCTGCTGGGCATCAAGACGCACCTGGAGAAGGAAATCGCCACCTACCGCCGGCTCCTGGAGGGCGACAGCGAGGGGTGAGGTGTGGGCACAGGAAAGGGGCTGCAAAGGGCGGGCAGCTGGGGTGTGTGGAAATGTGCTGCCCCAGGGGCTTGTGCCACAGTGTGTCTCTGGAGGGACAAAGGCTGACGCTGATTTTCTCTGACCATATCTATGTCAGCAAGCATGAACTAACAGGCTGCTACTCCCTGGGTGCTAAGATCTGTTTTCAGAACAGCTAAAATGAACATATTAAAGTCTCTGGGAAAAATAAATAACAACTTGAAAAATGTTGAGGGACTGTTCTAACCTAACAGCAGGGAAAGATTCCTAAACGATAAGGATGCCTAGACTTCCAGTTCGATATTCTGACCACCCAGGAAATAACAACAGCTGGACATAGACAAGGCACTACATTCTATGACACAAAAGAAAGGAGTAGGAAGGTTTGCAAAATACCTAAATAAAACATGCTGGGACCAAACTTAGACCAGCCTGAAAAGTTCTGGGGTTCCAGGCTTGAGACCTCAAACCTAGAAGGGATCCTGGTGGGAAGATGCCTGCAGCGGGCCACGGGGAGGGAGAATCCTTTGGAAGGACTCTCTTGCCCAAGGTTGGAGCAGGCTGCCCTCACCACCTTCTGGATCCAGGTTCTCCCTGAACTGATGACCTTGCCCCTACCAAGCTCAGACAATTATCCTCATTAAAGGGTTGAGAATTTACAAGCAGCATGAGGAGGCTGGCTCGTCCTGAGAAGGGGTGACTATTGCCAATACTAAAGTGAGTCAACTTTTCTCATTTTTATAGGGCAATGCAAGAATCTAAGTCCAGCATGAAAGGTAAAACAATTTCTTTCATTTGTTTGGATCTACTTTTTTTTTTTTTAATGCCCTGCGTGTTTATCCATTCTACAGCGGTCATCGCCCTGCTGTACTCCCAAATGTCCCATGTTCAACTTTTCTTTAGCTCCCAGATGGCAAGGAGTTTTCCATTAATTTAACAAATTAGGTAACACTGAGCTCTCACTGGTTGTTCCCACACTTGCAGGTGGGATACCCCCTGCCCACAATGCCTGGGATCAGCAGCATCTCTGATTTCAGATTCTTTTTTTAATGTTGGATTACTTCAGTGTACACAGTGAGATATCTTGAGGATGGGAGCCAAGTCTGAACATGAGATTCATTTATGTTCCATACACACCCTATACATATGGCCTGTGAGTAATTTTACACATCGTTTTATGAAGCAAAGTTTAATGGTGTGGAATTTTCCACTTGCACCATCTTGTCAGTCCTCAGAAAGTTTTGGGTTTTGGAGCAATTTGGATTTCAGATTTTTGGATAAGGGATGCTCAACATGTATATAAAAGTTCTATGCCAACAGTAATGTGGTTTAAAATGGTAAATAATAGTATTATGTCTCTACTAAGTAATGCAGGCTATTTACTAAATTTCTAAGAAATTAAATCACGTAATCTCCCATCGATTCTGTTGCACACCATCGTTCTATGAGATCTGAGTAGTGTTTTAGGAAAGGGGTGTTCTATGGCCAGAGAAGGCTGGGGGATAATCTGTACCGTTATCCTCTTCCTGAATGGTCAAGTTGCCTTTCAGTGTGCTCAAGACTTAACAAGTACTTCCGTGTGGAATAAAGGTCAAAAGAAAAAAAAACAAAAAGAGAAAGCAACAACGAAAACTTTACTCTGTTTAACCTGGTATTAGCTGTTATGCCTTTGGTGTGGGTACACTATTTTCCCATTCACCATTAACATCTCACAGAAAAGTACCAGAAGAGCCCAATCAAAATCAAGTGGCACTTCCTGATGAGTTTGTGATAAAAGTGTTCTCAGGCATTAGCAATTCAGAGAATCAGCGTTGGACCCATAGTTGCAGAAAAGCTGGTCTATCTTTGTGCAAAATCCAACAAATCGTCCTTCCTCTCCTCACCTAAGTCTAGGGATGGGAAATACAGTAAGTTATGAGATACCCCAATCTCAGGTTTGATTTTCATAGAGCTTTCCTCTGTATCTCTGTTTTTGCTTTCAGCTCTTCCCTAGGGTTTAGAGTTGGTTCATTGACACTTACTCAAATAAAGCATACTCTTGAGAACAGCAATCGTGATAAACATCCTGGCCTCTCACCTATCCACATGGCATGCTTTCTAGATCTTAAAATAAGGTATCCCAAATGGCATGTAGTCCTCTTAAAGATTGTACACTCTGTGATGCAAGAGACACACAGCCACATGAGCAGAAATCACTCCTTAGGCACTTGTGACCAGAGACCAGCATCTGGATCAGGGACACCTAGCACGAACGTCTTTCAGACTTTCACTTCCTGGAAGGTGGAGAGAAAATCATCTGTGGTTAGATCCCTGTTCTCTGGAGCAGTCTGCCATACTGCTTAGTGACCAGGGTCTGCCATATTGCTTGGTGATCAGGATCCACCATATTGCTTGGTGATCATTTTGGAGGTACAATAAAGCTTTGGGGGCAGAAATTAGGGAACCAAACAGAATACAGTTCAGATGGTGGGGAAAGCATGGCAGTGACCTCTTCGGTGCTCTTTCCCACAGCATCTGCAGCTCCCAAGATCAAGGCCATCACTCGGGAGACTGTCAATGGAAGAATAGTTCTTTCTCAAGTGAATGAGATCCAAAAGCATGCTTGAGGCCAATAAAAGTTTCTGCCTGTTGTAAAAACTATCTTTCCCCAAAGGAAGGTCCTTGCCTAGACACTGATGGGTGAGTCCTAAAAGGTATCCTTGGAGTTATCAGCTCGGAAACTTCCAATATTTTTCTCTATAACAATCTCATCCGACTTCCCCTAACGTTTTTGACAGACTGTTGAACTTTTCAAGTCAAAGTATAAATTTATGAATTGAAAGCTCTACTTGCCAACTGCGGTCTTCAGATTCCCATCAATGTGCATCTGGTTTGTAGCCAATAAAAACTGTACACACTCCATACTGTCTTTTCTTGTGTTGCAAAGCAAGACAGGGCCTCAAGGTCCCATTCCCTCCAAAGGTTCTCAGAGCATTGTTCATGAAAGAGCCAGAGGGATCATAAGATGTCACATGTGTCCACAGAATCCAAACACTGGACAAGTTGTTACTTTGAGCTGTCCAACCAAGAGGTGAAATGTGGTTCACCAGGCTGTCCACCCTCTGCCAACAGAGGGAGGGACAAATAGAGAAAACTTCAGAAAGAAAACTTCACTAAGATAGAAATCCACATATCCACCGAGACATCACCAGGATACTGTACATGGGATTGCAGGATATTGACAACTGAAGAAACCACAGGCACACACAGTCCAAATCTCCCATTTTACAGACAAATAAACTGAGTCCCAGGCCAGTAAAGGTATTTACTCAACACTCACTGAATTGGTGCCAATGGGTCTAGACCTGAGTCGTTGGTTCTCGCAACAGCTGTTAGACTAAAAGTGGGTGCCACTGAGTTCCATTGCCATTGAACATCTTAAAACCTATGCCTAGTGCTCTCTCAGAAGGGATTGCTTTTCATGTTTTCTGAACTGGACATCTGTTAAAACTGGGCTCATCTTCCCTTTAAGGCAACGATTGATGTTTCTTATACTTAAAGAATAGAAAAAGCAGCCCCTAGCAATCTGAAATTAGGCAAAAGAACCCAGGGTAACAACATCTTTCCCCAAAAAAAGTATTAATCAAGGGCTGGGGATTTAGCTCAGTGGTTCCACAAGCTAAGGATCCGAGTTCGATCCCTGGTACCAAAAAAAAGTATTAATCAAAATTTATATAAATTGGTGTTAAATTATAAATTTATCTTCACTGTGTGGCTATTTCAAAGAGGCTCAGAAATAACATACATAAATGGTCTCGGTGAGGTTTCTTTGTGTGGTATCAGTCTGAGGTGATTTTGGATGTTATTTTGGGCAAAAATGTACCCAAATTAATATCATTAGTTCTCTTGTTCTATTTCTTTTTACTAAGAGAGCTTCTTTATATTAAGAGGGTATTGGAGTCCAAGCAAATCCTAAATAAACTTCTCTCTATTTTAGCACTCATTTATTCTACTATTTTGGATGTCTCTTTCTTGAAATCTAACAAGTGTACACAAAATATACAGTCCGCCCTCTGAACCCTCTGGTTTCCCATGCATAATTCAAACAAACCTAGATTGAAATATTGGAAAAACTGCATCTGCACTGAATACATACAGACTTCTAGTTCTTGATGTTATCTCCTAAACAATACAGTAAAGCAACTGTTCACACAGTGTTTACACTGCATTAAGTATGGAGTAACCCCAGGAGAGTGTCAAGTGTAGAGGGGAGCGTATGTGGATTATACGTAAATACCGTGCCAGGTAATATAAGGGACTTGGGCATCTTGGATTTGGGAATATCTCCTGGGAGAAATACCCTGGAAATACCAAGGGACAATTCTCTATATTTTTCCAAAGTAAAATTTGGGCCCTTCTAGAAAACTCCTGTGGGAAATATTCAAAAAAGAATATGAAAAGCTGAAGAAAAAATTATAATACCAGAACCAGAAAATAATCACTAACTTTCCATTTATAAACATAGTTTATGCACGACTTGGTGATAGTCAAGCCTTTGAACAATTTTTCATCCAAGCACCTAAAATCTCCTTAAAATCTTATTAATTTTTACCTTATCAGTTCAGGTGTCCGACTTAAGCCGATTCCCAAAGACATGAGGTCCACACAAACCAGATCAGCTGGTCACCCTACCAAAAGAGAATTGCTTCTATTTTACTAAGGAAAGACAAGAAGAGAGAAACTAATCCATTTGAACAACAAGACAACTGCATAAGTTTTGGCTTCAAATAACATAGAGTGACTTTTCTCCCATATTCAAGTCAGCCCCAAAACCTTTCAAAATACCCACTACAAATCAATTAATGCTATGTATTCAGGCAAGTTATCAACAAAAGAAGTTTCTGTTTATATTTGGCTTTAACAAACACACACCCAACCCACCATATAAAGGAGGTGGTAAGAAATCTATAGTTTTCATTCCAAACATATTTTGAACCAATAGTAATTATCCTTCTGTTCCCCATAAGTCAATGAAGGGAATAGCTGGCTAATCCAAAGGAATATAAAATGTTACTTTGGAACTTAATATTTACAACAACATGTTTACTTATAGTACTATAAGATGGTTTGAGTATATAGATCCCTGTGATATTGTTCAATCCTATCAAATACAGGGGATCAAAATATATGGAGAGTAGTTAATCAGGGTATTGCGTGCACCTTCAAATCCAAAAAACATTAGCATTAGAAGGAAATACAGCATTCACCTGACTGGACCATTCTGTTTAAGAGATGAAAAGGCTAATGTCTAAAATCATCATCTCCTTTTTTGCTGTATCTTAACACAAGAGAAAATCAGAATTTAAAAAAGCATTATATGTTTTTTGAAAATTCATAATAAGCTGAAAATAATGTTAAGTGTGTGAACTACTGAAAAGTCAAAACAAGGTATGCACTCTTAAATTGAAAACAATATAAAAAAGCCAACAATTTTGTGAACAAATTAACCCTGATGTGGGTACTAAAAATTGACTTTTTGTTAGTGCTGTTTTCTTCACAGAGGACGTAAACTATATTCAGCATATTTCTAGCAGACTGTCTTTAATACAGAGATTTTAAGATGTGCCTTATATGAAATCATATAGCAAATCACATCTCTAAAAATAACATATTTCCAACAGTACCTTCTATGGACACTGAGCAACACCGCACTGTACTCACACCAACACCTATTTAGCCTCTCACAATGGAAAACAGATACTAAATGACTATTTCCGGAGCAAGCCCCAGATGATGGTGGCTCCCGGGAACATAGAGCAGTGCTCGTGCCTTTCCATGGCCCATCTTCTATGGGCCTGGTGGTGACTTGATGTGACCAGTGCAATATTAGCCTGCCTGGCACCAGCAGAGACTTTAGGAATGAGGGGAGGCTGAGGAGCCCAGGGGACAGCTGTCACCGAGCCACCCCAGCCAGCCCTGAGTCATCTGACCCCAGCTGGGCCCAGACCCCCATGGAGCATGGAGCTTTCCTCACAATCTGACTCTGAAATCCTGAATTGGGAACAAATAAAATGGTGGTTGATTTAAGCCAGTAAGTTTTGGGCTGGGTTTTTTTTTTTTTTTTGTCTTGTTTTGTTGTTTTGTTTATGTAGCAAGGGATAGTGAAACAGAGTAGCTTAAAACAAAAAAACTATTCTCTGCCTAGTGACAATAAATGATTTTAGGCTAAAAAGTCCATTTGTATCCCAACAAACTGATGGAGATTTTTAGTAACTTTAACACTGAAAGGGACCTTTACAGAAGTCCTGATCAAATACCACAAATTAAGCTTCAAAACTTCTAAGAAGACTAGCCCAGGCCTATACCCTTGGACACGACGGAGCGTGAAGTGAGGCCATGTCCTTTACGGTGTCCTCTCTGTCTCTCCACCGGCGGAGACAAGCAGGTGGACCTGCCCGGGAGGAGCGCGGGCCCAGGTACATTCTTATCACAGTTTCGATTCCCTCTGCCTCTATCTTTAGTTCCTCATTCCAGGGACATGCACTGTTTATTTCCCTGTAAATACTGATGTGGACAGTATCACCCAGGTGGAGAGTTTCGCTGAAAGGTGATCTGGCTTCAAGGTAGATAAGCAAATTCCTCCTTCACCCAGATGACCAGATCTTCCCAGGGAAGACCACACTGATGGCCAGGTAGTGCAAGGCCCCAATGTTTACTAAGTCGTTCAGACCCTGGAATACAACTTATCTATCGGAGGCATGATTCCTCACGGTGCTTTACTCCCAGTGCAATACTTTTTAATCAATAACTGCTTTTAAAATGCTTGGTATTAACACATCCCCCAAAGTATTTGTACAGCCTGACAAGGTTGGTTTTCCAACTTAACTGCCTGCCCGCATTCATCTGATGTGCATGACTCACGCCGTCTTATTCCATTACAACATCTTCATCTCACTGGCTTCCTGAAGAGGATTAGAGTTTCTAAAATATATTTGCATTGAGGTCATGCAAAAGAGGAAAACACAATGCCTCTCACAACATCATGATCTGATGACCTAATAATCAAAGTTTGTGTGTGTGTGTATGTGTAATCATTCCAGTACATAGGTTGTCCTATTCCCCAAAACTTCCCTTTGAAATTTAAATGAGGACACATCTACTAGAATTGTAAGTCATCTAATAAAAACTGTAAGTTTATTTTTGCTCATTTTAAGGTATGTTTACACAACACTCACCCGAGTGACACACACATGCACATCCTAGAAGTCATTTTTAAAAGAACGACTATTCTTGACTGAGCTTTCCATTCATGTTATTGTTTAACAATGGTTACAAACCCTGCAGGAAAGTCTTACCTTCATTTTAGGGCTAAGGAAACTGAGGTTGGGGTGGAAAATATGAAATTACTTGCCTATGGTCACAGAGCTATAAAACGGTAGACCCAGAATCTACCCGATGCATTTGTTCTTCAAAAATGGTTACCAATGGGCTTTAGCTCAGTGGTTCCAGCACCTGCCTCACAAGCTCAAGGACCCGAGTTCAATCCCCAGTACCAAAAACAAATAAAAATGGTTACCAAGAGCAGCCCCCAGTGCTGAGGAGGAGCCTTCCAGGCTGCCATACCACCACCCCCAGCATGAGGAGGTGAACTGCATGGGCACCAGCAGCACACACCCCACCCCTCCCCCCTGCCCCCACTGAAATGAGAAGACACATAAACAAGTCCCAAAACTAGACTTCCAGATCACCTAAAGCAACCCTAAAGGGAACTGAGATGGAACACTCTGATACTCAACCACCTGGACTCCCTGAACTGGCAACAAAAGAGAATCTAGGAAAAAATGAAAGCAGAAATAATTTCTCAGATAACATCTGAGATTGTATCCATAGTGCAACACATGATTAATAAATCTAGAGAGG